TTTTGCATGGTGGCCTAATTTTTGCAAATTTGGTTTACTAGGACACTACGTAAAAATGGATTAGAAATGGCCTGACATAAACCTGGTGTGTTTTCTAGGTCATTTTGAAGCGGTGGCCTAGAAAACCATATTTGCAAAAGTTAGGCTACCACTTCAAAATGGCCTGAAAATGCCCTAACATGACCCTGGAATGTTTTCTAGGTCATTTTGAAGTGGTAGCCTAACTTTTGCAAATATGGTTTTCTAGGCCACCGCTTCAAAATGACCTAGAAAACACACCAGGTTTATGTCAGGCCATTTCTAATCCATTTTTACGTAGTGTCCTAGTAAACCAAATTTGCAAAAATTAGGCCACCATTGCAAAATGAATTCGTCTCGAAAAAATTTCTCGAGGAAGCTCCTCGAGAAGTTTCTATATTGTTTTCTAGGCCACAATTATGTGTTCGAGGGAATCATTTCCTTCTCGAAGCCACCATGTGAAGTCCAAGCGCCACAGTTCTATTTCCTAGACTACGATTTGAATTTCTAGGCCACCCTGCTTTTCTCTAGACTACGATTCAGTGACCTAGAACACTTTTTGGTTGTTTTTTCCAAATCGGTCTCGTGACCATCTGTCCGCCGCAGCTGGCGACAAAAACAGACGTAACGAGACGCAGATATTCTGCGTCTTCTACTCTTTTTTATTTAAAATCGTATCTATGGTCATTCCGCAATTTTTTTCACCACCTTCTCTTCTCTCTTTCTGTCTGCGTCTCTTTTTCTCTTCAAACATTCATTTGAATATCTGGCGCCACTCACAACCATTTTACCCGGCGACGACTGCGGTCTGATGTTCTTCAGACTTCAGTTATAGCTTTCTTTGACGACTTAACTGGAAAGACGTCTAAATTCAGGAACTTTCGAGACATTCTACTGAATGGATGACCGAAATTCCTTTTTTTTATTTTTTCTGAGACTCCACTCAACCCTCGAAAAGCTCCAATAAACCCTATGTGAAAGGGTTTTTGGTACTTTTTCAACCTATTTTTCTGAATATTTTATAAAAAGTTTTTGTGAGTACCTTATGCTTTAAAATTTGAAACATTTTTGTCGTTATAATCTTTAGCAGTTAATATGGACCTTTAGAAAATTCAGAAACTCTAGAAAATTGATAATTCCAGAAATTATAAAAATGAGAGGGTGGTAAAAGTTCATGGTTATTTCATCATTTTACAGAATCCCGTCAAGATTGATGCTCAAGTTGAATCATCATGGACTTGAAAAACCGCTCAAAAGGACGAACACCAGAAAAGTGAGTTTTCGAATAAATATCTTGAAAATGAAATTGATTCATTTTCAGAAATGAAATGACCGAAATTATTAAAAAGATCGGATGCTCAAACGAAACTAGAACTCCAGCTTCAAACGGAGAAGGTTGATGAGCTGACGGAGAAGCATGAAGCTGGATAACATCAACTCGGCGAAAACGGCATTCGACTTGGCGATGTCTGAAGGTGAACGAACCTATTGAAAGTTGAAAACTGAAAAAAAAAAGAAATTCAAGTTCCAGTGAATGCAGGGACATCCAATTCTTCGGAAGGCTGCAAAAAGCCAATTCCAAAAAAGCTACTCCGGTAAGTTCTGTTGAACCGTAGCAAAGAAAACATCATTCAAATTCCGAAATGAAGAATCTCTAAATTTCTGAATTTCTGAATTTCCAAAATTTCTGAACTTTTGAATTTCCGAAATTAAGAATCGCTAAATTTCTGAGTCTCCAAAAATTCTGAATTTCTGATTTTCCTAAATTTCTGAATTTTTGATATTGAGAATTGTTAAATTTTTTAATTTCTAATTTTCTTAGTTCCTAAGTTTCTGAATTTCCGAATTTCTAAAATCAAGAATTCCTGAATTTCCGGAATAAAGAGTCGCTAAATTTCTGAACTTCCGAAAACTCTGAATTTCCAAATTCCTGAATTTTCTAAATTTCTGAATTTCTGAATTTCCTAAGTTTCTGAATTTCTTAGGGTTTTGAAATTGTTATGGAAAAGATGGTTTTAAATCAATTTTTGATTTGAACAATTTTGATATATAAGTTTCCAGATCAAGAAGGAACCAAAACAATTGCCGCTCACAATATTTGACACCGTTCTCGTTCACGATTCCAGAAGACAAGAATGCAATCAAATGTTTTACTGTATCTTTTATTGTAAACTCTTTCTTCCTCTCCTCGTTCGATATACTTTCCGAAATCTCTCAATCTGATGTTTCTAGATTTCTTATATCATTTCGTCTATTTTCATTGCAAATGTGCTTTTTTTTTTCACCGGTTCTTTCTCCCATTCTTTCATTGAATGTTTTTGCACTTTTTCGATAAGTTTATATGAAAGTTTATAAAGAAGATCGTGCTTTTGATTTTCGATTGCTTCAGGAATATATAATCACTAGCTATTCACAATGAGAATCGATAATATCAGTCGAAGCGTGATAGAAAAACACTCATTGAGTAGTTTGAACATAATTAAATATGAAGTTGTAAGATTGACAGTCTCACAGAAGCGCCGACAGTTCTCGATGCTGTTTTTGGCAATAACAAGTCCAAGTGACTATCTTGGTGATTCCTTGAATGCTAGAATGACGGACCAAGTCTTTAATTAAAAAAAGAAAATTGGAGATCTTAAAAATGCTGTTAAACCTAGATGGTCTGATCGGTCAGTTGGGCTTCGGTTCATACTGGAAGAGCTTATCACTAGAATAGGACTTCAACTTTGGATACTGATGATCATTCTGCGGACATACACACACAGTCTGTGTTACCAGTACCAAAACTTTTAGAATGTATTATTTTCAGCAAGTTTAACTTCATCTTCCTAATATGCTATAATTTTGAATTTTCAAAACTTTTAAACAACTTTTGAACAGACGAGATTCCCCTGTTCCCATAACTGCTTCCTATAATATGTCATTTCTACTTCAAAAGAATTTTTCAACAATGCTTCCTTTTGGCTAACAAACTTATTGGATTTTCCTTTTTTTCGATTTTTTTTTGAGATTTATTTGACGTTAAATGATAAAATTATTGATGTAACTATCACAGAAGAAATGAAGAAATAAAGATCGGGTTAGATTGATATGCACTTCCCTACTGACCAGAACCAACTTTTATTTCTTTCCAGCGAATCCAACCATTGAAAACGTACTGCCCAACTGACATCTCTGACAAACTGATCTACTGTAAACCAGTAACTAGAGATATTATGAAAGGATTGCGGACAGAACCAAATGGTTTTTTCGTAACTTTTGTATTATTTTTCAATAAATGAATTTATAATGATTTTTTGAAGACATCGCAAGATTTTCAGGGAGACTGAGAAAGAGAAATACACACTCTTCCTCGATTAGTGCCTCAGAAAGTTCGATTCAGCAACTCGACAAATCAGTTTTTTCCTACCTATCGGTTTCCAAGACGACAGCCTCAATATCATTTCGTTGAAGGAAAATATAAAAAAATAGTAGCCTAACTATTTTACACGGCCTCTTTTAGATATAGATAGGTTGCCTTACTTTTGGTAGCCTATTTTTTTAATTGTCTCACTATCTTTTACATTGTCTTCCAATTTCCTAGTTGTGATTCCCTGAGGACCATTTTATCTACATGTCCATTAACATCTTTACATATGTTCTGCGTTCATACGTACAATTGACAGTCATATGTACGGTCAAACAGAAAATCAATAGTACGGTCGAACAAAAAGTCAATATCTGGGTCGTCTTTTTGGGTATTCCTCGTCCTTCATTTCATTTTTCTGTCATTCTATTTAATTTCCGTGGTCTCAAATTTAATAGATTATTACTTGACAGTCGAACTGTTTTCCCTCTTTTACTCTATCCTATTTCTTCTATCCCCTACAAGTTTGTTTGGCTCACCAGTTTCACTCCGCTAGAGGCTCCATGAGCTTACTGTAGCCTGATGGACCAGTCTAGAGGTTGTGAACTAACTTTGCACTTACATTAATGTGTTCATTGTCTCGATAGACCTTCGTTAAAGGAGATGCCCACTTTTTCCACTTTTTAAGATGAATTACCTTGTTTTTGGTGGCCTAACTTTTTCGATAGAACCTGTTCGAAAACCGTGACCTAACTTTTCATATGTGCCACTACCAAGGGGCCTTTTATCTACATGACAATACACAGTTTTAAGTTTTGCACTCATACTTACAATGGACAGTCTTATTGATTTTTAAACAGAAAATCAATCGTGTGTCTGCGTCGTCTGTTTGGGTGTTTTTCATTCTCCATTTATTATTTCTGTCATCCTATCCAATTGTTGTGCTCCCAAATACAATAGATCGGTTTTAGACTGTCAAACTGTTCGCCCCGATCAATTGCTTAATTTTGTACTAAATGAAACAGCGCAGAAAATTTAGGCAGCTGTTTGCAAAGATTATTACGCCTTTTCAAATTTAAATGTTCAATTTTTCTCTTTAACAAAAAAAACATTTTAAAGGAGGCCAGACACCAAAAAACAAGTTTCCCTGATAATTTGCATAGAGAACCCCCATGAGGGGTTGAACTCATGACAGGCAGCTCAGGGGTACAGCGCCGCTACCGGCTGAGCTACGGGGGCGCGAAGGCGCCTGACGACCGATGGTCTACATAAGCGCGGCGCGATTTCTTCCCCCGAACTGTCCCCCGGAATTTTTGCTGTCTCGCCTCCTTTAAATCACTTTTTTCTCTCCGTCTTACCCTTTCGATGGTCTTCAGCATTTATACATACCGTAAAACCTATTTGGTAGTCTAACATTTTAATAGAGTCTTGTTGAAGTTGTTGGTCTATTTTCTTGTCTTACCATGTACCTGCCACATTCTGTGCCTGTTTTCTGTATTCGCCATTTTCTAGGTGTGAATTCCCAGCGAAAAAGTTAAAAATGCAACAGCATATCGATCTTCAAGACAACGTCGAGAGATCCATGGAACGCCCACACCAGGAAGGAGGTGACGAAGTGGCTCAAGATGCTCAGGACCTTCAGAATTTTCGAAACGAGGCAGCGGACGATGGGCAAGGTCAAGATGAAGCTGATGAGTTTGAATATGATGAGGCAAACGGAGCACTGCCAGATTGGGAATATCTGAATGCTCATCTCCCGCAAAATTTTTTAAACGGGGTTCAAAAAGTTCCAATTGCTCTTGCTCCAAGAATGGAAGTCGAAGTGGGACCAATAATTGAAGTAGAAATTCCCCAAGATATTTATCAGAATGTCGGAGTTCCAGCTCAACCAGAGCTCATTGTCTATGAGCTCCAGGATCGTCCGATAGAGTTCCAAAATGACGACCATGCTCCGGGACCGATTCCACTCCGGCGAGTCAGAACCACGATGGCAGAGATCAGCGACATATGTGGTCGTCTTAAGGGATCTCACGACACTGGATTCGTGAGTAAAGATCAACTCCTAGAGTATAGAGTTCATGATCCGGAGACTCGAGAGCCCTTGGTTCTTCCTTTCAATGGATCCACGAATATGAGAAACTGGTCGGTAAGTAGTTTGTTATTCTCTTTTTCGAATTCAATTTTTTTAAAACTTCACCATTTTTCAGCGGTGCCAAGTACAAGAGTTCCTCAGCCAAATCGTCTTTCCCGACGCCGCACAGTCGATCGCAAGAAGATGTCCAAATGAATCTGAACTTGAGATGTTCGAAGCCAAAACAGTTCAATTTTTTGAAGAGCTCAACTCCCTGGCCACACATAAAGATCAGAAAATACAATGGCGAGAGTATAAAAAAATTGCAAGAGAAGTTGGAGAAGTGAGAAGAGTCCAACTTATGGGAAATTAAATTAAGCCATTCGAATTTCAATATTTTCCTTGTTTTTTTGATTTTTCCTTATGGGTTCCTTTTTTTGTGATATTCATCAAGTCAACGTTATGTATTCAATAAAAACTTATTATGAAAACAAACTTCTACATGTTCTTTAAAAAAGTAGTCAAAATTTTAAGTTTTGAACCGATTTCTGGCCTTTTTTGGAGCAATCTAGTCTTTTTTGGAGCCAATTCCTCAAAGGGAGGTTCAAAATGCTTTGCTTCTTTTTCAGACGATGTGATGAGAGACCACGGCCGAAGTAGTCAAAAATTAAGTGAATCTGAAGGCAATAGAGAAGTATGGGAGCGTCTAGGACAGCTTTTGTAGTTTGTAGTCAGAGCTCTTCTAACTGTATGCGTCCACTCCCTCGCTTCCTCTACGACTCTCACTCTCTCATTCACTTAATTAGATAATCCTTAATCAGCCGATCTTTAATCAGCCGTCACCTCTGGCAATCAATGAAAATGTCATAATACGATCTCATTAGTTACCAGCTTTCTGTTTGCCGCGCCTCCGGCGTTTCACAATTGAAGCATTTTCAATTATTCGTCGCTCCACTCCTCACTTTTCAATTTTTCCTTCTCACGCTGTAGAACATCTACGCCCTCCCTCCCCTCTCCTGGTATGGGCCTCATGGCGCAGCTGTGTGCGTGCGCGGCTATTGTGCGGAAGTCCGCGGGTTCGGTTTTGGTGGCAGCCAACCTTTCATTTAAAAACCAAAAACCGGACAGCTAGGACCAACAGACGCGTCTAGCGTCCACCTAATTAGCTCATTTTTAATTAGCTCATCCTTAATCAGCCGATCGTTAATTAGCCGTCACCTCTGGAAATCAATGAAAACGTCATAATACGA